CAATTTTATCTTTCTTTCTCTTTTTAAAACCTTTAAAATCTTACAGAGCTGCCCCGAAAAGTAAAACATGTATTGTCTGAACGGTTCGGTTGGCGATTAAAAGTGCATTTAAGATTCCATTAAGTGCGTGTAATTTCTGAGATCACCCGAGAATAGAAACGCTAACACGTTTCACTACAGGGTAAGAAGAAAGCATGAGGAAGTCGCTCAAAACAAAGTTGGTATCCAATATAGAAAGGTTTGCAACGTTAAGAAGAGGGGGTAGGGGGAAATTCCCACCAAACTCAGCTTCAACTTTCCTCTCGCTCTTCAAGACGTACCCACAATGATTAAGACTATGCTAGCATCCACGCAGTTGAATTAACACACAACAGACTTTCATGGAAACTTTCAAAACAAACTCCGCATCTGAAATGAAATGAAACGAATCCGCCTTTTGCTTGGGCATGTGCTTACAAATCGCTGCTTTGGGGTAGCGTTTGTCCGTTCAACAGCCTTCCTTAAATAGACATTTCGGGGGCAGGAGGGGACACACATACACACAACAAAAATAAAAAAAATTAAGATACCTTAGGATAAAAGAGGGTATTTGAAGCAATGGAAAAAAGTGCACACGCTGAAGCCATGTTACAGTGTTTTAACAGAGACATAACCGTGTGCTCTGAATGTTAGTAATAAATCTGATCAATTAATACAGTTCATCTACTTATTTTCACCGCGGGAATTTCTTCGGTTGTGTAGTATCGACAGACACAGGAACAAAAGACAGGCAGAACCAATTTCTAAAATCACAATCCTCTAGTCGATACGGATGTTTAATAATAGGGGCGCCCTCCTCCCAAAAGAAAAAAAAAAAAAAAAACAAAAAACAAAACAACTCTATAACTGGCAGCAGCAGTATTAAACATTTTCTAACCACCAAGTCCTAAATGAATTCTGGCACTCAGGCAGACGACCTTTTTCGTCTAGAAAACCAGCTTTTCTTATTAAATAACCATGTCATGCTTTTTCCGTAGGGGTGAAAACTAAAACCAGCAAGGTGTTAACGAGGTCTGAAAGGAAAACGATACTTCGAGATAAGAGGGAGGAAAACTTTGCCCTAGTCCATCTGATGAAAACTGCAACTTTTCCCCTGCCCAGCTCGGAGGAATAATTGATTTCTGGGCATTCAGCGCAGCCCGGGCTTTTCAGGCAGGAACGGAGTGAGGCAAGCAAGGCGAAAAAGGACCAGTTTTATAGCAAGTTGCTTTGAACCACTTCTGAATCCATTTTCCTAAGCAACCCTCCGAGAGAAATCTACCCCCACAGCAGCCTTCCCGCTGAAGTACGCCTTCCAGGGAAGGACCTGTGTCTTGGACAAGAGAAGCTATTACCGAGGGGTCACCACCAGCCCCCCGAAAGCACTGGGAACAACGCAAAAGCAGATCAAGGGAGGGAAGGGCAGGGCGGAGGATGCTCCTCGTGGAGGGAGCGGTGCAGCCACCGGCTCCGGACCCCCAACCTGGAGCGTTCCTGGGCTGGCCCCGTGCGGGGAGAGGCTGGGGTTGGAGGGTCGGGGACTGCGAGAAGGGGCACGATACGTACGGTTGTTGGGGTCACTGGTGTGCTGGTTCAAAGGGATGATCTCCATGCGCTGCTGCCCATACAGGTAGTAGTCCAGCTCCTCGGCCGTGCAGCGGAACCGAGCGGCAGCGCGCTCGCCCCCCTTGCCG